TTTCCTACTTCTCAATTCATTATTTCTCCCCCAGCCTACAATGAGTGTGGTCAATCCTATCCTTAGGTGGGCCCATTTCTCTCATTGGGGAATGGTTCAGATTAGTCCCAACAATCACCCGTCATCAAAACAGGCAATTGGTGATAAAGAGTGTTTTATTTGGGTTCCACATTATTACATTGCACCATACAATTCCAATTCATTGCATCTCAATCTTGAGTGTTATCAGTTTACTTCTCACCATTACATTTTGCCGGATCTCCAATACCAATAGCATATTTTTTTGGCCCCACAGACCACAATAGTGTCGTCGCCGTCTGATCTCCACGGTCGTCTAACAAACGCTAAAGATGCATGTTCCACCGAGAAACAGAGAGGGAGACGAGAAATTTGATTGTCGGTGTTCATTCCTATTGCATCATACTAGCGCGTTGCCCGGCCAATTGCAATTTTCTTTTCTCCACCGACGACCACCGACTCTCCCCTTTGTCTCCACTTTCCTTTCCAGACAATGAATATTCTTATTACGAAAATTACCCTTCACCCTTCCGGGAATTAGTTGCATTCTGATTCTTCCACACTATTTCGTCTATCTTATTTGATAGTTTTGTCAATTTTTTAAGACTTGGCTCGGAATCCGGATCAGACGGTCAGACTGTAAAATTGAGAACCCGAGTCTTTTTTTTGGTCCCGGTTAAATGACGTTGGATTGGCATATTGCCTGATTAACCAAAATACCGGGGCCCAAAGAACATCCCGGGTTTTACTCTGGTCCAAGAACTAAAATATTTGTTTTATGTTTGACTCCTTTCATAAATATGATATTTGAATTTTGTCCCAAAGTAAGCAATGGATTAAATATTGGCGCTATATCATTTAATAATATTATAATTAACTCTTCTTTTAAATACAATTTGATCATAAAATTAAAAGTTTTATTATGACGTAGAAATGAATATTTACCAAAAAGCTTGTGTATTTAGCAATCACATTAAAAATTTTAACAGCGCTAAAATTTATCAATCAAGTATGATATCCCACTTTATTATTTAGACTGTAATTTTGTTTCATACTAGAAGGGCATATGCAATTAAGTATTAATCATATATGATACATAAATTTAAATTTTTGGGTTTGTACCAATTTTTACACAATAAATTTTGCCTAAAATTAAATGACAAATTAATTTCTCTAATTTACTTATTTTTTTATACTAGTAAATGAAGTAAGAGCAATTTTGCTACCTACGTGGCTACACTTACCCAGATTTGCCATGTACATAGCATCTTGTCTATACCAAATCCAAACTATTCAGAAATAATCCGTCCCCAATCTTGTAAGATGCCATCCCATGTCAACACTGCAACCAGCAGCTGGAGACCATTCTGGAACATATCCGCGTGTACAAATATTCTTATTCATGGGGAAATATTAGCATTGCATTAGCTGCAAAGGTTGTGAATAGTATGGATAGCCAGCTGGTACTTTTCACTTCTCTTATGTCAATTGAAACAGGGGTCTTCTTACAAAACTGTCCCAACTTGCTTCCAATATTATGCGTGTCTGCACACATCATCATGATAGCATGATCCATCATATATATGATATGCATGTTTAAGTGTGTTTGTAAAAAAAAAAAAAAAACGTTATTAAGTCTTCACCAATGCACTTCTGATTTGCTGAATCATTGGTTATTCAATAAGAAAACACCTCCTCAAACTCAAAGCCTGTAAGGACGAGACGTATCTGCTCCTCACACCGACTTTACAGGCACATATCTCATTATGGATCGGAAACATCTCTATGATAATTCATGGAAGATTCCCAATGCACGATACCTGTAAGTCAGTCAGTGTGAGATGCGCTCCCAATTTTATAAGGACAGGCTACGGCATAAATACAACGTACAGGGCACTCTCCTATTCGAGGATCCAGATGGATCCCAGCCATTAATAGGCAACCGGCACATCGCGACTCCTCTGCATCAGGACTTGAGGAGTTCTTCGATTGGTTAGATAACGTGAAAAAGATGAAGCATGGAAATATGGAATCCTGATTTTATCAACCTTTGTTCTCAGAGTAATTAATTATCCATAAATATAAAGAATTAAAGATGCTCCATGTGGCATGTCTCACCGACCGCTGATTATAGCAATCCATCCAAGATCTCTAATTTAGAGTTTGGATATGCTCTCACAAAATTAGTCCTCACATGGACCTCACGATGGAATTTTGTGAGTACTCCTACGATTAAACTTCTCTACGCTTTCTTCATCCCAGGACAATAGCCATGTGCATCACTGATCAGCCTTTCTAGTCCCTAATTAATCATTCAAGCATATGATGGCTTAACCACATCATTGGGTCCCAGAAGAAAGCAACTAAGGAATGGTGGATGAGGATCCACATAAATATAGCAGGGTTCCGCATAGGTATGCAATTTGCACCAAGTATAGAGCACATATAGGATATACTTTGAAAGGAGCCCATCCGAGATCCGTATACTCAACTTCTAGATTGATACCTATTACAAAAATAAGACCCACACGTGCAGTGTCGAATTTTTTTGGTAGAGTGTTGTAACTTATTTTATTAGCACCTAGAATGTACAGTCTCATAGTTATTCATGTTAGGTTGTTAAGAGTCCGGATCTTCTTTTTACACTGACTTGACAGCATGTCCCGTCCACACATCACGAATGTCTCTTTGTTTGTAAGGAGATGTTCTGACTAGAGGGTGGGATGTGGCTGTTGAGATCAGTGTGAGATGCTCTCCGCGAGTAGCAAATCCCAATTCTGTTGTTAGCTAAAAATTATTGTTCAACACTTGGATCGAGGGGTGTTCAAATTGAGTTAGTATTGGTTCTCTGGGCAGTGTACCCCCACTCAAGCTCTATTTGGGAACATCTCAAACGCAAATTGGTTCAAATTCTAATATCAAACTGAAAAGCAAATTGAACAAATAGATTTGGTTTGGTTTTAATTTTTACAAATTTTGGTTTTCAATTTTTAGTTAGTTTGACAAAAAAAATCAAGGGAAAATGACAGTTTAGATCAGGGTCAGAATTTATGACTTCAAAGTACCATTGAGATAGGTGCCAGTTCAGAATTGATGCAAATTTATGGGCAAGCATTGATGCATAAAATATGGATTGTTAATATTTAGAATATTTATAAATCTGCAGTGAAAATCAGAAATCTGCATTGCGCCTATTCGTACTTTTTCAAAATCAATTGAACTGAACCTAATAATATTTATTAACTGAACTAACCGAATGAACACTCCTGCTTGAATCTACGTTATTTAGAATCAATCACCAAGACAATTTGAACCCCAAAACAAAAATTTTCTTTTCTATGATAAAGGAAGAAAACCAGATTGAAAACGATTCCCTTCAATCTATTTGGCTACCTCTTTTTTGTTTTAATAGTTTGAATAATGCTAGAGAATCGGGGAAGCAAACTATCCTTTCACAATGCTAAAGCCATGAATAAAATTAAGCGAGATAGGGGAAGATATTAATTAGGAAGGGTGGCTTAGGGGTAATGTAAAATTTGAGATTTTTTTAGTAAGAAAAGGGATTTGAGTCTCGATTGTTTTGCTATGCTGATTTATTAGAATGGAAAATGCATGCTTTGATTGAATTATTAATAATTAATATTCTATCATATAAATATAATACTTACTTTGGATTCCCTCTAAGTTATAAAAGTTAAATCTTTGTATTGTTCTTCACTCAGATGCTAGTTCACTCAAATCGCACTATGTCAGGGTGTGAATCTTCTTCTACAAACTCTTCCCACATTCCCCATGGGACATTATAGCTACCCACGAGTTGCTCCTACATCCTTACCCATGAGATATTACAGCTATGCATTGAAAATATCTCTCTTCTCATTCATGGGGAGATGTTCTCTGTACATGGCGGTGGTGTGATGTGGGAACAACTTATGAGTAATAGATCCCTAATGTGTTTTTTATGGGAGATGTTCTCAATTCAGTGGGATGGTGTTCTATATGGAGATGATGTGAGAACAATTTGTGGGTAGTAAATCCCAAGTGCTATATGCTTTTCGACATTACCCATGAATCTAAAACTACTCTAGACCATGGTTTTGAAAATCGGACAGTCGGACCAATTGATCCAAGAATCGATCAAGCAACAGATTTTGTTTACCCCAAAACCGTTCATGGGCCAAAAACTGTTGATTTGATCAGTAACCCGCTGACCTAAGAAGTCGAAAAGTTGACTTATCGACCCAGATAACAGTTTTAACCTTTTTATTTTTTTTTTATTTTTAAATAAAAAATAAACTAATCAGACGATTGAACCGTTCAATTCAATGACCGATCTCCAAAACGGTTTCATGTCCCATCCGGTTTTTAAAACCTTGCTCTACACACGTTCCAACATCATGTGTCCGCGCATCTCATGCATGGTATCTTATGGTAAGAAGTGTGAACACAAATAATGTTGAGCATATTGGGACAGTTGCTGTTGGGAGGAAATCCCAACTCATACTCTCTTTTGCCCCAATTCTGGATCTGCTTCCAACAAAAAATCCGCTCCAACATTGATCTATGTTCGCACATCTAAGATATAATAGGTCCCAGCCATTTCTATAGTAGGATGTGTGGATATGGATCATGTTGGTATCAGGGTGGGACACGGTTTTTTTTAGTTTTTGCCCCAACCTCCACCTATGTGACATTACAGCTAAACATTGCAAATATTTCCTTTCATTCATAAGAAAATGTTTCTAATATATGGGCGGTGGTATGCTCGTCGCCACCATAGATAGGGTCATGCTGGGAGCTTAATGGTTGTGGGCCTTGTGGCTTGTGGGCTCATCTATTTTATGACCGGTGTGGATTGTGGAGTGTTGTTATTTCGTTGCATAGTCTGCTGAACAGTTGCGTTCAGCTAATTTTATCATTTTATCTCCTCTTTCCAGCGGTAATAAAGTGGATAAAAAAGTACACTCGACTCCCTTATATCCACTGTCGCTCTCTCTCTTACAGCTCGTATTCTCTTCACCGACGCCCAGCGTCTTCCTCTCTTCACAGAAAGAGAGAAGGCGAAGGACGCGATAATTCTTTTAGATCCGTGGCGATTTTTCTCCGGAGAAGCAAGGTACTTGGATTTTTAGGGCTAGTTCAGCAGATCTTGCAATACAATGTTGTCTAATTTCATCTTTGTCAGCTAGATCATGTTGAGATTCTCAGTGCTTGAGTTTTAGCTATTCATATTTGTTTTATTGCTTCTGAGCTGAAGATCTTAGGGTTTTCTCATTTATTAGACGAAGAGGTCGAAATCTTATAATTGCACGGGATCTTGAGGCGGATCTAGTGTAGTTCGGTGTGTTTCATTCGCGTTCTGTAGTAGCTTTATTTCTTTTAGCTGGAGAACGTGTATAATGTGCTCTCTTTTATGTTAGTGTGGACTTTAGTTGATTTCGTCTATGAACTTTTCTGGTTTTTTTTTCGGCCCTGTATGTGTTTTTGTGGGGATATGATGTAGATCTGGACTGATTCGATTCGCTTCAGCTAGTTCTTGGTTCGAATATCCTTTTTTTTTGGAGTCAAAAGTTAGAGTTTTCTACATTGTGAAGTGTGAACTAACCTTTTATATTTGGTTTTTTAGTGATCTCGTGTAATTTGTAATTATACAGTTATTTGAAGTTTTCTCTACCAGTAGTTGTTGTCTTGTTGCCGTTGTTAGTCTTTTTGGTACTCCGTAGTGTTCGGTTTCTCTGTCCCAAACAACTTGAAGTTCTAATTTCTGAATTCAAGTTGGAAGATAATTTTATACTGTTTTTGTTTCAGTAGTTAGGTTCCAGTGGTGATTTATTACTTCTGTAATTATTTTGTTCTTGTGGATCTAGTGATCTAATGATATCTATTCTGGATTAGATCTCCATCTCTAATCATGCATTTGTGCTGGTTTTCGTACTACTAAGAAATTTCTTTTATCTGGTGATTCTACAACTTTTATTAGATTTTAAGTTGGAGTACTTATCTTTGGTTTGGTGCCTGATTTTCTGATTTTGCTCTGCCTTCAGGTGTAGAGATTCAAAGGATTTTTGTGAGTAACAAAAATGGCATTTGGGAAAAATGCCAGAGCGGACAGTAGGAGGTCATCATCTTCCTACTGTTCAACTGTGACAATCATCGTGTTTGTTGCTCTTTGCTTGGTTGGGGTTTGGATGATGACATCATCATCTGTAGTTCCTGTTCAAAGGGTAGACACGTCTTCTCAAGATACCAACACTGAAGTAAAACAAGTGACTGAGAGTGGTTCTCGCCAATTTGAGGATAGTCCTGGTGATTTACCTGAAGATGCAATGAAAGGGGACAGCAGCACCAGCACTCTTCAGGATGACAGCAAATCTGATGAGCAGGAGAATCAAAATACACCTGAGCAAACAATTGAAATTGAGGAAAAGCAGGAAGAAAAGCCTGAGGAGAATGATGATAAGAAGACTGAAGAGGAGTCCAAAACAGAAAATGAAAATGACGGGGATGGGAAGATGGATGTCGAGGAATCCAAAAAGGAAGAGCCAAATTCAGAAAGCGAAGAAACAAAAACGGAAGGTAGTGAAGGCGAGCAGACAGAATCTGAGGAGAGCTCAGGTGAGAAGAAAGATTCAGAGGACAAAGTTGAGGAGAGATCAGAAGAAACAAAGCAAGAGGACAAAGTTGAGAGCAATATAGAGGAGAAGACAAAGCAAGATCAAGAGGAGAAGGAGCAGAGCTTGGATGAAAATAAGAAGGATGGCCAGGTCCCAAGTGAGGTATTTCCTGCTGGGTCCCAGTCTGAGATTCTTAATGAGACAACTACTGAAAATGGGGCATTCTCAACTCAAGCAGTGGAGTCGAAGAATGAAAAGGACACACAAAAATCTAAGGACAAGAAGGGGTACAGCTGGAAGCTTTGTAACGTCACTGCTGGGCCAGATTACATCCCTTGTCTTGATAATTTGCAAGCTATTAGGAAGCTCCCAAGTACCAAGCACTATGAACATCGAGAAAGGCATTGCCCTGAAGAGGCCCCCACTTGTCTTGTTTCTCTACCTGAAGGATACAAGATCCCAATTAAGTGGCCTAAGAGCAGGGAAAAGGTATACCATCTATTTGCTTAATATTGAATGCACAATCATTTTCATCAGTGCTGCTTTAATCCAGATCTCTTAATTGCTTATCTCCTGCAGATATGGTACTACAATGTTCCCCACACCAAGCTTGCAGAGGTAAAGGGACACCAAAACTGGGTCAAAGTTACTGGCGAGTATCTTACTTTCCCTGGTGGTGGAACTCAGTTCAAGCATGGTGCTCTTCATTACATTGATTTCATTCAGGAGGTGGGTACTTATCTGTCTTTTACTGTTGAATTGCATTATTTGTTCTTCTACTATATTATTATTGCCCTCCCTCTACTATAATACTATTCAACTCATTTCAGCCTTAGGCCCAATTTTTTGGGGTTGGTTTTGTGAAACCTGTTCTGCCATTTTGCTTTATCAAGAGCTACGCTTTTTTGTTGTGTTGTGTATATTTATTTCTTTATCCCTCATCCCTCCCTCTTGGAAAAAAAGTTGGCTATCTAAATTCGACATTTTAGTTCACAGCCACCTGCATGACATTTTAGTTCACACAACCACCTTGTAAGTTGTAACAGTATTGATGCTGGATGTATTTCCAGGTGAACTTACCTTTCACACAGGGAGAGCCCTATTGACAGCTTAGGCTGTTGAACATGGAAAGCAAAGTTTTCTCCTCCCTCTCCATCTCTATTTGTTTATCAATCTAGACATATGTATGTGCATGCGTTCCTGCCATTGTGCATAATTGGGGAAATGCCTCTTTGGGTCATAAATTGAATTGTCAGACATAACTATAAGTGTTTTTTAATTGTTATTATCATTTCAATGTTGGATTCTCACTCACTGTTACAGGTATCATTAATAAGACTGTTAGGATTCTAATGAGTCAGTTATTGGGTAGTGGGATGTTACTTTGATCCGAGTAAATGAGTTTGATCAAGTGTGACAGTCACGGATACTATTATTCAGGGGACTTGTTACTATTATGCAGGAGAATAAGTGTGACATCATGTGGGGGAGTTATTAGCAGCTATAGTAATATGTCAATGCTTGGAGTCCCAGGAGTGTATAAAATGCAAAGTTGTGAATGAATAGAACCATCTTTCTTGCTTGTAAATCATATTTGTGCTTGGGTGGACGTTTTCTGGTTTTTCCTCAAAGAAAACCAATTATCTTCCCTTGCATACAATTCTTGTTTCCTCTTCCCTTGTCTACTATCTTCTTGTAGGGAGTAATGCCTGTTTACCTTCTAACTAAAATAGGTTGTGGCAAAGTGAAACTCCATTACAATTTTACAGTGATCAGTTCATCACAGAAGTATTCTATGGGACAATTTAGGCCCATCCACAAGATCAATCTCTTCTGCATGTAATGTTCACTTATTTCTCTTATCTATTTTTGTGTGTGCATGCACCCCTTTCCTAGGAACATGTTTTTATTTGATAGCTTTTCCCCTACCACTCTAGCAATGTACCACAGCCCAAACACGAAGATACTGATGATTAGTGAATTTCAGGTTGACATTTTCTTGCATTCCTCCCTTTTACCTTTTTGACTTAACATGGATATGTGTAATTGCCACTGCAGTCTCTGCCTGACATTGCATGGGGGAAACGCACACGTGTGATATTGGACGTTGGGTGTGGAGTGGCGAGCTTTGGGGGATTTCTCTTTGAAAGGGATGTCCTTGCCATGTCATTTGCTCCCAAGGATGAACATGAAGCACAGGTGCAATTTGCTCTAGAAAGGGGTATCCCTGCCATTTCAGCTGTGATGGGCACCAAAAGACTACCCTTTCCTGGTAGAGTGTTTGATGTTGTCCACTGTGCACGCTGTAGGGTGCCCTGGCACATTGAAGGTATTTTCTATTTTACAATCTGTTGAGTGTTAACCTAGTGTCTTGGTTTTGTGCTTATTCCTCTTCTGTTGGGGGCACTTATTGCAAGAGAAAAATATGCAGGTGGCAAACTTCTCTTAGAGCTGAATCGTGTTTTGCGACCTGGTGGTTACTTTGTTTGGTCTGCTACTCCAGTTTACCAAAAACTGGAAGAAGATGTTCAGATCTGGAAAGGTAGAGTATTTTCTTTGACTATTCCATATACTTGTCCTGGTGTCTGACAAACTTATGAATTGGATCTAACAGCTTTGCTTTTTTCATGGATGTTAATGACAGCCATGTCTGCAATGACGAAGTCAATGTGCTGGGAGTTGGTTACAATTAAAAAGGACACGGTGAATGGAGTAGGTGCAGCAATATATAGGAAGCCTACTTCCAATGTGTGCTATGACAAGAGGCCACAGAATGAGCCTCCACTCTGCCAAGAATCTGATGATGCAAATGCAGCTTGGTATCTTTTCCTTTACCCAAGTAGATTTAACTCGTTTTCACTGACTAATTTATTATCTGCAGGATAATAAATTCCTGTATTATGGTCTTTATATGTGTACATGTTTTGTGCCTAGGAGTGTGCCGTTGGAGGCATGTATGCACAGGGTACCAATGGATATTTCAGATCGCGGGTCTCAATGGCCAGAGCAGTGGCCAGAAAGACTTGAGAAACCTCCTTACTGGTTGAAGAGTTCTCAGACTGGTGTCTATGGCAAGCCAGCACCAGATGATTTTGCAGCAGACTATGAGCACTGGAAACGTGTTGTGACCAAGTCATATCTGAAAGGAATGGGCATCAACTGGTCATCTATCAGAAATGTCATGGACATGAGATCTGTATACGGCGGGTAAGCAAAATTACCTTTTACTCTTTTAGCTACATTCAGTCCTGTGTGATTAGTGTCCTTTTGTGGGCCTTTCTGTAGGCTACTTGGTAAACTTAAGGCAACTTCCTTCTTCTTAAACAACAAACACCAATGTTTCTTTCTATTTCTATTTGTTGGATTTTGCAGTTGAAAACTTACAGTTTGCTTCCACTTTCTTACAGTTTTGCTGCAGCTCTTAAAGACTTGAAGGTGTGGGTCATGAATGTCGTCCCAATTGATTCACCCGACACACTTCCCATAATTTATGAACGGGGTCTATTTGGGATATATCATGATTGGTGTGAATCATTCAGCACCTACCCAAGATCTTATGACCTTCTCCATGCAGATCATCTCTTCTCCAAACTCAAAAAGAGGTTCTTTACATTCCATGTCTTTTTTCCTCAAAAGTCTATCTTTGGTTTGATAGAAAACGTGAGCGAAACAGAAAGTTAAGTGGAAGTTCTTAAGGAACTTATTTTCTATCAAACCAAACACACAGCATATGGGTTAAAGCCTCAATGAAGGGTATTCCATATGATTCCAGTTGTTAATTGTGGCATTCATTCATTCATCCAATAAGACTGTATCTGTTCTGCAGGTGCAACTTGGTGGCAGTGGTAGCAGAGGTGGATCGAATACTGAGGCCAGAAGGAAAGCTGATTGTACGAGACAATGTTGAGACCATTGGGGAGTTGTCAAACATGGCGAGATCTTTGCAGTGGGAGATCCGCATGACCTACTCACAGGATAACGAGGGATTGTTGTGTCTCCAAAAGACCGTTTGGCGGCCAACAGAGCAAGAGACAATCTCATATGCTATTGCCTGAGAGCATTGTAATGTCCTTCAACCATTGTTTTCAAACTTAGTCATTGCGAAGATAGAAGATTCCTATAGTAGATATTCTTTTGGTAGCGTTGCTTGGTACCCAATTTCAATTTGTGATAAATGTAATTTTAGATTTTTATCCTAGATCATGTATCATTTCAGTTGGTCCCTCTAATTCCTCTCCTTCGTCTTGTTTCTTGTATTTCTTTTAATATCTTTCAGAGGGGATGTCCTGAATTTTGACTGTAAAGTCATATTATGAGATACCGATTGGAATCAATGCATTCTTGAAAGTGTAAAAGCTCTTAGTTTGTTTACGTTCAAACATGATTTGCTTATTCATGTTTTATGTCTTGGATTGGGTAACCATTTTACACGGGATTTTTGTTCATTCTATTCTGTCAAGGAAAGAAGGCAGTGGAATATTGTCGCATGGACTATATAATCCTAAGTTTGAATAGAATTGCAAGAAAAAAGGGTTTGAACAGAATTGGATTTGCCTATATTTTGTCAGGATTCAGGACCACAGTTCTACGTTCTAGTTCTGTAGTTTTACATAAAAAAGCAGAAAAAGAAAAAAAACGGAATGATGAGTTGCAAATGGTAGCACACCAGTGAATTTGATAATAAGATTCGATCATCAGTCTGATAGAAGTTATTCTTCGAGAGATCAAGCCAATCGCTTCAGGTGCAAAAAACGATAATTAATACCCTAATTAGTTCTTTATGATGATTTTGTCAAGTTTGCCTGCTCGCACCGCTGCTGTGTTACAGCTTACACTTACAGGCGTACTAGTGTTGAAAATAGTTGGTTACGCATTTACGCTCACAATAAGGTTAACTGGATAACGAATCGTTGAGGGTCTGGTTCCTGGGTCAAATGGTCCGACCATTTGAATCGAATACTGCCCATTCTGACAAAATTAAAATGGCCAAAAACCATTAGACGGTTTGAACGGTTCAATCATCTGGGCCAATGGTTTTTTGACCAAATCAATGGTTTTTGGCCAAAATGATGGTTCTGGGGTAAAATGGAAGTAACCGGTTCTCAGTTTTTTCGGTTTGACTGTCTAGTCTGGTCTAATTTTGAAAACCATGCCTGCAATACACAGTAGTGTGAGCAGTAGATCCAACTCATGCTTTAAGTATCAACTACCCAACCCTATCTGTTTTCAGGTTATTTACTAAAATGCCCCTTATAGTTTCATAGATTTATTTAAACCTATCCATTTTACTAAAACACCCTTATAGTTAGCAATTGATTTACTTAATCAATCTTTTCATTAATAACTATTTGTTTTGCCATATAAAAATAGTAGCATGACCACCCAAACTAAGTTGAAAATGTTTAAGGGTATAAACCCATGGTTGTTTATTCCAAAAGTACCCCTAAACTGAGTGGAAGATGTTCAAGGGTATGGATCCATGGTTGTTTATTTCAAAAGTATTCCTAACGTTTTTTTTTTCTTTTTTTGTATAGAAAACAAAATTGGCCAATTAGAGAAAAATAGAGTGGTTGTCCATGTTTTACTAGGGGCAAAAATAACAATTTTGTTTTTGGTTTATTTTGATTAAATTTATTTTAGTGGATTTTAGTGTTCAAACTATCATTTTCCACTTTCATCTAATGGAAGGTTGATTAAGTAAATTGATTGAAAACTATAGGGGATTTAGTAAAACACAAACTATAGGGTAAGTTTTAGTAAATCCATGAAACTATAGGATAAATGACCATTTTTTTAGTAAAGGGAAATTTAGAGAGAACCTACATTTACAAAGTTCTTTCGGGTTAACTCTCAGACCCACTATGGGCAAACCTCAACAAAAGCACATTCATCACCAATGCGCTTAGCTGCCAAGATATGGGCAACAGAGTTGCTTCCCTATAGGGGATTTAGTAAAACACAAACTATAGGGTAGGTTTTAGTAAATCCATGAAACTATAGGGTAAATGACCATTTATTTTTAGTAAATGGAAATTTAGAGAGAACCTACATTTACAAAGTTCTTTTGGGTTAACTCTCAGACCCACTATGGGCAAGCCTCAACAAAAGCACATTCATCACTAATGCCCTTAGCCGCCAAGCTATGGGCAAAAGAGTTTGCTTCCCTATTTACAATGGAGAAGAGAACCCTCTTGTCTTTTGCAAAATGTACAATATCCTTGACAAGAAACACAATCCCTAGTCCCGTAAGCACTTCCTTGATTAATAGCCTTAATTAGGCTTAAACAATCACTCTCGATCACAAAAGAGGTGGTACCCTATAACGTAAAAATTAGCTTTAAATCTTGGAGAATAGCAAAAGCTTCCGTTTGGATGGGGGAACTGCCTTTCATCTTTACAAAGTAATTTACAACCACTGTACCGGTATGGTCCCTTGCAATTACACCAAACCAAGCCCTACCTTCATGGAAAAAACTGCCATCCGTGTTAATTTTGATTGTACCAGAAGGAGGGGGTTGCCAAAAAGTAGAGCTTTCCTTAGCACTAATTGCATGGGAAAAAGGCCACCATCCTTGTGGTGAAATCAGGCTCCTCTCCCTTATCATCCTGTTGAAACAAGCAAGAGTAACACAAAGTGACATTTTCAAAGATAAATTCATTCCTACATTTCCAAATTGCCCATAGGATAAAAGTAGACAAATGGAGGATATAATCTTTCCTTTCACCTTGGGATTTTGCCTTGTCTACCCACCATCCAAACTAATCTTTGAAAGAGGAATGAGATACAAAATCTTCTGTTTTGACATTCAGAATGCTGGCAAAGCAAATAGCTTTTGCATGTTCACAGAAAAAAAAAGAGCATGAAGAATTGTTTCGGTCTCCTTATTACAAATAAGACATAACCCTAAACTCTCAATCCCTTTTTAATGTATATCCTTTGACATCTAGAGCATTCCAACATCTACAAAGGAAATTCTTAACCTTTGGGTCAACTTTTGTTACGGTCCCGCATGTAGGATCCCGTCACGAGTCGGTCCATGGTGCGAAAGCCCTGCTTCCCCTGGCGTGCAGACCCTATTGCGGAAACTGAATGGGTGATTTGTCCAAGAGACCACCCGAACTCTCATCACTCTTTTCTTGGCTGGAAAACTGAATAATGTTTTATTTCAATTCGTAGCTCCTTAAATAGGAGATTACAGAAGGAAATTCCTAATTAAACTCAAACTCCAACTTGAACTCAAACTCCTAATTACCTACTCCTAATGGTAACTCACTCTTACT